ATAACTATCGCAGGTTTCCAAACTACAGTTTTATTCTTCTAAATTGTATCAGGAGACGTTTTCTTCTAAAAGGTTTTTTGTTTATTCTTCTAAATTGTACCAGGAAACCTTGTCGTCTTAAAGGTCTGTTGTTGGCAAATTTATTTTATATGAACGAGCGGAATCATGAGGTTGCAAATTATGTTTCACTTCTTTGCAATTCATATTTATATCGGTTGCTAAATGACGCCAACCAACTCTGTAAAACTTCCCCGCACAGCTTATTTTCAGTGCTCATGACTCAGCAGACATTTTAAAAGTATTACAGGTTTCGAAACTGCATTGATGATTGGACGTATGCGATGTCTGTATATTTCAACCCTAATTATAGAGGCAATTAAGAGTGAAATTTGCAAACTAACCAGCCGTTAATTTGATAAAACCTGCAAAAAAAGCAACTGTCCTCTGTTCACCTGCTTCTTATTCACAGTTCAGGGTAAAAAAAAGACTCGCCGTAATGATATTCAGTCCTCATATCCTGTTCGAAATATCTAGGAAACGCTCCTTCTGAAACTCCTGATACTTGCTTTCAGTTTAAGTGTTTCTCAAGATAGAAGTACAACAAAAAATAGTAATTGCCTAAAATAACCAGGGGTTAGCCAGTCAGTAATGAAAATCTCATTTGAATAACCTATTCAGGGACTGCAACTTTCTCCTTTAAATAATCTTTTCTTTTTTTCTTATGAACCCCTTCCTCTCTTTTTCACGATCTGTTTAGTTTTATTAGTTTTCTAGAATTCAACAAAGAATGAAAATAAGAGTGTTGAAAAAAACTCCGCCTGGAGCTTCAAATTCACTTCCGCACACTTGCTTCCTTTTTAACGTATCACTGGCATTCTTATTTTAGGAATCATAGCAGGCGTCCAAAATAGCTCTCGTTACGCCCGTTTACAATTTGATGTGCAAATAAAGGGAACACTGTGTAAACGATACTCTTACAGAGCTAGAAACATGGCCAAATGCGAAACCCAGAAGGAAGCTTCGCGGACCAAAGCATCACGAGGCGATAGCCGGGTGCAACCTCTAGCTTCTTGAGTGCTAAGAAAACTTACCAAGTATATTCATAACTTGTTAGTTGCACGCTGCACGCTAACCATTTCTTTTGTAACATTAAGACTTTCAAACACCTTTCGTTTCGTGTAGAAAACAAAAAAGCAAAACAAACTGACGTCAGCACGCAACCCACGGGCAAATGGATCGAGCATATTATCCGCAGATTGTTGATCTGGTCTGTTTTGACTTAGGTTGACGACGGAGAAATGCGATTATTAGTTTATTTGAATGTTGGTTCTTTATTTTCATGCATGCATGAACATGTCTTGACGAAGAGGAAAAAAAAGAAATAGGTTGCGTAAGTCCCGCGGAAATTATGCCGTTGTACACTAGAGGCTGCACTACGATATTAAATTTATTTTTAAAGTCTTGTAAAGTAAGAAAGTTGTTCTGGTCATCTTTGAAATGTTTTACTTCGCCAATACCATGGTCGTGTCATACTTTTAAAAAGAAGGGCTGTTCATCAATTCCAATAAGCAAGTTGTGCTAAATACTTTGTTCAAGAAATAGACTTTCGGAGGTTATGCATTCCTCAGAACTGATTTTTGACCATAATAGTGGAAATTCGTTTATGAATTTTCCCGGAGTTCTTTTAGATTTTTTACTCAAGAATATTTCATTTAGGTTCAGTTTCTCTTCTCATTAAGCTTGGACATTTATGCTTACAGTAGATTTGAGAGCTCTTTCTTTATTCAATTGTCTACAGATATACCTGAATAATTCGCGTAATTCTTCTTCTAATCATGAGCTTCACGACTGTACACTGACTGCATATTGTTTAGCAAGCTGATTGGGTTTCCTTTGCTTCTCTCCTCACTCATATTCTTTTTCGTTCGGAAAAGAAACAGTATGAGCTTGAAAAACTTGATACATGGCATGGTCTTGCTTATTTACCCTACAAACCAAGGTATCAGCAGTACTTTGATTGTAATCCTACTCCGCCGCCAGTTACTAGCCATTGCCGCGTTGTCCATAATTTCGTGATCCTCTACTTTACAAACCTTCGTTGTCGGGGTAATTCTCGTGGGCTTTGCTATAATTCATCTGTGTTTTTATCCTTACAGTGATCTTCCTCATCACAACTTTGCTTCTGAAAACTCGTTTGAGCCCCTTATTTTGCTTGTGCTTTCGATCTCCTTCATCCTGTTGAGGTTCTCGGCCTTGGAAAGCTCCATGAGTTCTACAACAGCTTCTGTGTGGATTATAATTGTTATTAACTCTTGAATCCTTCTCCTATTAATTTGCATTATTTTCTACCGTCTTATAATAACTGGGTATGAAAATTTAAGTGGGTGCTTTTGTAGTGGAAGCGGCGCAAATGCAGAAAGAACCAACTTTCAGTCCGTGAATCAATTTGCTGTCCGTGAACAGCCGACATTGGGTGAGAGGTGGTGAGGCATATCGTATTTAAGGCCAAGGTCGGGTGTTTATCTACATTCTCCGAAGTGTCCTGTTCTCAGTTCGTTTCGGTAAGCCTACCTCCTAACGTTTTATTCGCTGCGAAAATTTTTTCTGTACGTTACTTAAACGTTTTATTCTTTTAAATTGTATCAGGAAATGTTGTCTTCTTCAAAATAAGCCGTGAGGGGAGTCCCCTCACGGCTTACTTTTGGTTTTCATGACTCGGCAGACATTTGATATTACAGGTTTCGAAACTATAGTTTTATACCTCTAAAGTGTATAGGAAACTTTGTCTTCTTAATGGTTTGTTGTTGGCAAATTTATTTTATATGAACGTGCGGAAGTATGAATTTGCAAATTATCTTTAACTTCTTCGCAGTTCATATTTATACCTGTTGCTAACTGATGCCAACCCAACATTGATCTTTGGACATATGCAATGTCTGTACATCTCAACTCTATTTATAGAGACAATTAAGAGTAAAATTTGCAAACTACATCAACACAAGCCGTTAATTTGTTAATTTGACCTGCGAAGAAAGCAACTGTGCTTTGCTCACTTGTTTCTTACTCACAGTTTAGTATGAAGCCATCCAAGACTCGCCGTAACGATATTCAGTCCTCATTTCCTGTTCAAAATATCTGGGAACTGCTTCTTCTGAAACTCCTGATACTTGCTTTCAGTTTAAGTGTTCCTTAAGATCGAAGTAAAACAAACAATAGTAATTATTTGAAATAACCAAAGGTCAGCCAGCTGAAAGCAATTAATGATAATCTCATTTGAATGACCTACTCAGGGACTGCAGTTTTCTCTTTTAAATAATCTTTTTTTTCTTGTGAACCCCTTCCTCCCTTTTTCACGATCTGTTTAGTTTTATTTGTGTTTTAAAGTTCAACAAAGAATTAAAATAAGAGTGTTGAAAAGAACTCCGCCAAGAGCTGCAGATTTACTTCCGCACACTCGCTTCCTTTTCAACGCATCACTGGCATTCTTATTTTAGAAATCATGAAAGGCCTCCAAAATTTTCCAAGGCGCTTAAAAGTGCCATGGCATCACGCCCGTCTGCAATTTAATGTGCAATTAAAGGGAACACTGTGTAAACGATACTCTTACAGACCTGAAAACATGGCCAGGTTCGGAACCCAGAAGGAAGCTTCGCGGACCAAAAGCATCAAATTTCCGTTTCCGTTTATTTTCCTGGGCATCGTTTTTTACCAAATAGTTGGTTTGCAAGTTGGACAAGCTGAAGCATTGTGGCCTCGAGATACTTATGGTGAGTACAAGAGAATAGAGTTATGGCGCAGCAAACACTTGAGTCATCTGATTTCAATTTCGAGTTATGGATGCACGCGGAAATTTGCTAAGCACGGAAAAAGCATCAGAGTCCGTGAGTCCGTCCGGAGTTAAGCTTCTTGAGTGCTAAGAAAACCTCTGAAGTGTATCCACAACTTGATGGTTGTACGCTGCACGCTACCATTTTTTTTATAACATTTAGACTTTCAAACATCTTTCGTTTCGTGTAGAAAACAAAAAAGCAAAACAAACTGACGTCAGCATGCTACCCACGGGCAAATGGATCGAGCATATTATCCGCAGACTGTTGATCTGGTCTGTTTTGACTTAGTTGACGACGGAGGAATGTGATTATTAGTTTATTTGAATATTGGTTCTTGATCTTCATGCATGCATGAACATGTCTTGATGAAGAGGAAAAAAATAATTAAGCTGGGTAAGTCCCGCGGAAATTATTCCGTTGTATACTAAAGGTTGTACCACGATATGAAATTCATTTTGAAAGTCTTGTTAAGCAAGAAGGTTTTTCTCGTCATCTTTGAAATGTTTACTTCTCCAATAAAATTGTCGTGTCATACTTTTAAGAGCGCTTGTCTGTAAAAATTAAAGATATCGCGGCAAGGGTGGAAAATTCGATTTCTTTCTTATTTTAATGTTAGATAG